CATTCTTTTTAATAGCTGAGTAAGATTCCATTGTGTATATGTACCACAGCTTTCATATCCATTCATCTGCCGATGGACATCTAGGTTGCTTCCATGTCCTGGCTATTATAAACAGTGCTGCGATGAACACTGGGGTACACATGTCCCTTTCAATTCTGGTTTCCTCGGTGTGTATGCCCAGCAGTGGGATTGGTGGGTCATATTAGCCTGTGTAACTTTTAACTTTCTGAGGTACCCCCAATCTCCTTCTAAGAAGCTCACTGCCATTTTTTTTTTTCAAGAAATACAATTACTTCAAAATGAAGGGACAAAAGATTTTTTGCTGGATGTTATTAATGCTTCCATAGCTAAACTACTATTTTGATGCAGTCCAATGCAAATACCAAATGGATATTTTAACATTATTTTAGAAAATGATAAAAATGTGTTTCATATGAATCTCATAAAAGTTTTTAGAGGTCCAATGGTGTGGGCCGGAGAAGGCAATGGCACCCCACTCGAGTACTCTTGCCTGGAAAATCCCATGGACGGAGGAGCCTGGAAGGCTGCAGTCCATGGGGTCGCGAAGAGTCGGATACAACTGAGCGACTTCACTTTCACTTTTTACTTTCATGCATTGGAGAAGGAAATGGCAACCCACTCCACTGTTGTCTGGAGAATCCCAGGGATGGCGGAGCCTGGTGGGCTGCCATCTATGTGGTCGCACAGAGTTGGACACGACTGAAGCGACTTAGCAGCAGCAGTGGTGTGGGTATGTCAACCTCTTCCTTTTATAGCCAGGACAGGACGGCCCCTCCTTCCCAGTCGGGGCAGATTGACTCCATCAGGTTGTTCTTCTTAACAAGGTCACTCACTGTTCCAGTAGACAGCTGGAGCTGTCTTTTAACAGGAAGTCTCTGCCATCATTCTTGCTTATGTTAAGTGGATCTTCTTTACTTTGTTGTCAGAACTTAACTAAAACGAATTCTCTAGGTAAGAGTATTTCCAAGATGATAAACAGCTCTGGATTTTTCTGTTCCTTGGCTATTCCTCAAGCTTACTGGAAATATATGGCTCTCTGTAGAGCTGAAATTTGATCTCAAGGGACCCACCCACCAAATACATTTCAAATTTCAGATCAATAAACTGGCATCCCAAGTTCAGTATTTCTTAAAAATGACATCATTTCACTGTTTTAAAAATGGTGTAACTGAAAACTATGGACTCTATGAAAACCTGAGTCTGACACATTACCCCAGGCTCTTTCCATGAGCATGTTACTTGCACACAGTAGGTGTTCCATTAAAGCTTCTCATATGACTAGAAACTCTGCTAGTCCTTTGTTCTTGAGATGTTGCAAATTCTGCTCTACTTTCTAAACACAAATAATTCCTTTCCTCTTGCACAATGTTAGTAACTGGATATAAATGTCTTGCATGTATAAGGTTCCCTTTGTCTTTGGAACTACTCCCTGGCACACCTGTTTTGGATATTTCACTCTCTAAGCCTCAAGCTTTTTCAACCAACCAGCAGGCCACACCTAACTACCGTGTGTCAGTAACCTTCCTCAATGTCCATCCCTAGGGTAACCTTCAGCTGGTCTGCTCTCTCTCCAGCCATAGCACTTCCTCTCCTTTAATGGAACTATTCCACAAGGGCTGAACTCACCTGACTTCTTCCCAGGCCTGTTTCAGCACCCCTTATTTTACTTATGCATCAGAAATCACTTGGATACTTTTCTGGGGAAACAAAAATTCCCAGGCTGCCCTTCAGACCCATGGAATCAGCCTACATAGGCATATGCTCCAGAAAACTGAATTCCATTCAGGATCCTAGTTCTTGGACCTGGAGTCCCCAGATAGTGGCACATTAAAAAAGCTCCCCAGGTGTGATTATGGTGCACTGTTTACTTAACAGCAGGTCCAAAATTTGATCCTCCAGATCTTTTTAACATTTTTTCCCCATTCCTCCAAATACTTGGTACACAAACGTTTTTGATGACCATTTTTTCATCATAATCACTAACACTATATGAACCCTTACTAAATGCTACCTTACTGTGCTTACAAAATACACCAGACACAACTTATCACTGCTTTAAATAAAACACTGCTCCTCAGGATTAAGCATGTATTTATTTTAGTTCAGTTAAAACATACAATGTTTCATTGAAACGGTGTAGCACTCTTTGCCAACAAGTCTTATTGGAATTGTTGGCCTCTATGACAGTACAGTGGGGTTATGTATTTACATTATATACAGAAAGCTTACATATCCAGGTTCTCAAAGGTCTTCCACCACACTAGAGCATATTTGATTTCATTACACTAGATCATGTTTTAATATGATGTTTTAATAGCTACATTTTGAAAATTTAGACCTTATTTAAAATTTAAGAGATCTGAACTTGCACCAAGTTTTCATGAAAAAAATGTTGTTCATGTAGTCTGTTTATTGCAAATACAATTTTAACAGTATTCTAAATTTTTAGTGTTTACGCAATTTGTCAATTTGTTTATTGAAATCTCTGTACAGGTAGTTTTGGGACAATTCTTATAGATACATATGTGAATTCATCAAAATGCAGTTAAGAAACTTATAAGGATATATACATTTCAGCCCAAGACCCAAACCTGACATTATATACAACCTATTTACAAATACATATGGACAGACACTGTATGTACATAAGATTATCATAAATATTGAAAAATAGGTTAGCTTTAATGGATTAATGCTGTTCTATAAATAACATTAGTTATAACTGAAACATCCACGGAAGACAGTAATGCAAAATGAGGTGACAAGACAGTGGTTTTAATACTGAAGACTGCTCATTACTGGGAATTCACTGTTTAGGAACCTCCAGGTAGACAAAGATAGCTCCAAGAAAATCATGCAATGAAATTTACCCTTGGCAGTTGATTTGGAACCTCAAATAGCCAGGGGACTGGAGGAACCTTCCACATTGAATTTGTTTTTTTCATCTCTTCCTGGTTGCCTCGGTATTTTCTCCCAAATAAAAGGATGTAAACTGTAGAGGTATTCCCAGGCAAGTCTTAAGATACAAAACCAGCGATTCTTTCCAGGAATTCAAGCAGAAGTGCCAATTCTTGGTCTGTGCTAGAGGTGAGGTTCTGGATTCGAATGGAGTGCCAAAAGCCCAATTGAATGAAAGCAGTGCTGTAGAATCCATCTTCTCACTGCCTTTCGAGATGGTCCCCACTTTCATTTTTGTAGAAACAAACAAAAATGGACCATTGGTTTCACCCAATGGAGCACTACAAGACGTCTTCCAGTTCAGTTCCACAAGGGTCTCTGACTACAGACACATCTTGTCTGCAACTGAGTCACATATAATACAAGAATGCGTAACAAAAATCATGTCTGCCACATTTCTGGCCCTTGCCTAAAACTAAAAATGTTAAGTTCAAGAGAACAACCTTACAGTCAGGTGACCAATTGATGATTCCATTATTTGCTTCCCTCAACCACTAATGGAATTATGTGTATTAGATTTTAGACATTATGCCTAACGAGCAAAGTACCACATTATTTAATAACATATTCACCATACACCATGACGTACAATAAATGTGCTCTTAAAGCCAAGTAATTTTTTCACTTCTAACTGGGGTTGAAATGGAAGGGTGATCATGCAGTCGGACCAATAGTTACACTCAGGGTGCACTGTTTTCCCTAGCTAACCATATGTTGGATGTAAACAAGTACTTCTACGTTGTACAAGAATGAGATGACAATCCAGTGCACATGAGTTTTTTAAAAAGCTTACTGCATGAGAAACCCAGTGGCCTATATGAAGAGAACTTATACCAAATATAGGTGTAACCTATGGATTAATTAGACCTCTACTGCAGACAATACATGAACACAACTCAACCATACATTGTCAAGTAATTCACACTTCCATAGCAGATGAGCCACATGAAAAGTTGTGCTCTCCGGACAGAACAGTTCCGGCCTACAGCCATCAAATGCCCATTTTCCACTTCTGGAAGCAATGCCAAAAAAGGGCTGGCCCAAAAAAATCCAGAGCTGTCAACCCAACTCTGGAGGCAGATGCAACTGAATAAACCCTGTTTTACCCAATTGCACTATTTGGTACCTCAAAATTAGTTATTTTATTTCCCACAGAAATACCTGCATTATCTTCCATTCTAATAGACTGAAGCCATAAATATTTCAGAGTGTAAATGAACAAAAATATCTGGGGATAGAGAAGAAAAGTGATGAACAGAGTTCACCTGATTTGGTGTAGCCACAATCAACCAATTGTCCTTTCAAGGTAAAGTCTGAATGGAAAATGCTCCTAATTACAGTATAATTTTTCATTATATCATTTTCTCTAAAAATTATTTTGGATAAAAAAAAGTATTTGGCTTAGTATGCCTACAAAAAGGCAAATCATTTCATAATACTAGTAGTAATTGTTTTTAAATAACAATGATTTTTTTCATGGAATTCATTGACAATTACTTTTGGATAAAGTTCAAAAAAAGCAATTTTTAAAAAATAAAATAGTGCTTCTGAGGTCTTTGAATATTTTTGGTACAAAAAAATTAATAGTGTTTTTCTCAATGATTATTTCAATACTTTGCTGTAAATTAAAAAGAATTGTTTCTCACATCGAATGGTTCCATTAGGCACATTCAAGTAAAATCATAAAATATCCAAGTTAAACAATGACACAGCCAAACATGTGGCTTGATTAAAGTTAAGAGTTCGTCCATTCTCTGGAATGGAATAAAATTGTCACTTCCGATAACCCGAGACTCGTGGTTTGGTGTTAATATCCATTTCTACCATACAGAATAGTTTCTTTAAGAACAAAACAAAACAAAACAAGAGTTCACTTATTCTGCACTCAGAAGAACCAGCGAGGAATCTGCACTTCAAAAGGAAGTGAAACTGAAAACATTAGGTGAAATTTCATAGTAGTTGAGAGCTGTGGACTCAACACTGGCATCAAATGGACTATTGTGGAGTTTTAGAGGTGGTAGTTAATGGCCACCTCCCGGGGCATTGTGGACCCAATCCAACACAATCAAGGCCATGCTTCCAGTCATCACCACTATGCCACTTAGCAGGAAGAACATAGCCTGCAATGAGAAGAGAAAACAGATCAGCAAGCAAAAAACATATATGCTAAATATTCTCCTACTTTTAAAAAATGGGCTTATAATTTCTAAAGGGCCTCCCAGGTGGCGCTAGTGGTAAAGAACCCGCCTGCCAATGCAGGAGACAAGAGATGTGGGTTTGATACCGGGGTTGGGAAGATCCCCTAGAGTAGGAAATGGCAACCCACTCCAGTACACCTGCCTGGAGAAATCCATGGACACAGGATTTGCACTGGTGAGCAATAGTCAATGGGTCCCAAAGAGCTGAACAGGACTGAGTGAATTAGCACATACAATAAATTCCTAAGTGTGTCCATATTACTTCACAGAGCTACAGTTTAGCTTGCTAAACTGTCTTGAATGATCAAAGTAAATAAGTAAAGTCGCTCAGTTGTGTCCAACTCTGTGACCCCATGGACTGTAGCCCTCCAGGCTCCTCCGTCCATGGGATTTTCCAGGCAAGAGTACTGGAGTGGGTTGCCATTTCCTTCTCCAGGAAGATCCTGACCCAGGGATTGAACCCAGGTCCCCTGCATTACAGGAAGACTCTTTATGATCTGAGCCGCAAGGGAAGCCACTGAATGATCAAGGGGTTATCTATATAATAGTAAATTACTGTATCTTTAAAATCTTCCCAAACTTTCCCTTCTCATTCCTTTGTATGAAAAGAAAAAGTAAATAATCTTCCTTTACTAAATAAACTATTGCACGCAACAGAACTGGACTGATATTTTTGCATTTTTTAAAAGGGAACAATCTTAACTTATAAAATCAAATCTAAATTATCTTAAAGATGCAGCCTGAGCTGAAGCTGGAGCTTTTTCTAAGAGACATGAGTGGGTCTACTCTAATTCTACTCTTCAATTACTGCATCAGTAAAACAAAATAACAGTTGTTGGTTCATAAGCATTTCTAGTACTTCAGTCACGACAACAGTAGTGGAGAAAAAGGACTGAAATGCAGTCTTTCTTCTAAGTATCCCCACCAGGATCATTTGTGGTTAACATATCATAATCTTTGTAAAATCAGTTGTTATAATTATACTTTATAGTGTAATAATCCCGACCCCACTTGAGCTTTGCTTTGAAAATGGTCTCATTTGACTAAATACGCCATTTTTCTCCTCTTTTAAACACTCCAGGCCCATTTAAGTGCCTGTCACACAGTAGGTGGTCAAAGTTACTTTTAACCTCTATTCCTGTTTCTAAAGTATCTAGTAACTTTCCTGCAATAAACTCAAGAATACATATATATATAAAAAAAAAATACATATCAGAAGGCAAACCATCTCTCACCTCCCCTCCTCCCCCATTCCTCCATCTGTGAAGTACACAGTTATAGGTATATTTATCAGAAACTTAAAATGAAACTACAATAAATGACATTTAAGAGACTAAAATTACAATCAGTTGAGGAACTTCTGGCATTAGATTCTTATTTTTATTCTGGTCATAAACTCTCACTCACCCCAATCTTTTGTACAGACTTCATAGATTCTTTCTTCACTAACTTGATATAGAACGCAGATGGAAGAATAAAAATCAACATAGCAGCGGCAGATGCACCTGTAAAAACAGTATTGACTATTTCTTAAGAATTCAATGAATCACTTGTTATTCCTTTTTTAACTGTAAAACTGATATTTCAATCAACTTTGTTACTTCCTAAAACTTACCAATGAAACCAAAGATATCCCTAATATTTGGTACAAAGATGACAAGCAAGTTGGTAAACACCAAGATAGACACTGTAATGACACTATGACGCCACCAACTGAACTCCTTTGATGCACACAGCAAATGAGTTATGGAACTCCGGATCTGCAAAAAATAAGTGTAGAAATAAAAATTGCAGCTTTAATCAATGAAAAAGAGCGACAAATAACAGGAAATATACCTAAATGAGTAGCTATTTAAATACTAAGTGTACCCCTCCTCTACTTCTCTTTTCCTAAATATCTAAGCATTAGAAAGATCATTATATCCTGAATTATGGGGAAAAGATCCCAAGATGTATTTTAAAGATGGACAAAACATTAAAAAAGAAAAACACCTTTCAAAACCCAAAAACCCTTGACATTGCTGTAGTAGTGTTTTCCTTCTCACGGAACATGAAAATCTCACAAATCTTCATGTCTAACAACCCCTTCCTACGGAAAAGAGAGCAGGTGATCACTTACTGGGAAAATAACTACTGGTACTGTCAGGGTGACAGCCACCAACACAGCCAAACGGACAATGAGAAGCAGAATATCAGTCTCCATGACAGAAGAGTAGGTATGAAGCAATTCTGACTCAACGTGTTCTACAGAGAAAGACAAAAAAAGAAAAAATGCTTGATGTGTGCTGTTCTCTCTGGAGATTAGTTAGAAAATCTAACTTACAGCTATTATCTGCACCGAAGTTATTAGCTACTCACAAAACGACTATAAACTAAGAGGCTAATAAGATTAATTTGGAATTAGGGTTAATGCAATTAAAATAACATTGAAGGAAAATTTTTCTAAATACCTAGGAGAGATTTAGCCACATGACCCCCATTAAAAACAACAAGAGCTAAATAGCTAAATCCCATGGTTTGGCTTACAGTCTGCGTGTGTGTTGTATAATCTGAAGGGAATGGGAGAGGAGAGTCAGGATGAACCTAGATGCAAGCACATCACATATAAAAATGCCATCATATGGCTAACGGTGGATTTTGGAGCCTGTACTCTAGAAATTACTGATTCAATATACACTACAGGAAATTCTAAACTCTAGGTTCAACTGCTCATCACAAATATGAAATATACTCAAAACAGAGTGAGCTTTTAAAGTGACAGAACTATAACATACAAAGTATGAACTTCATTTCTTAAGTGTCCTTTTTTTGTAAACTAGACATTATTTACCGTAAAATGTCAGGTATCCAAAGAGGGCAGCAAGCAGGTACATGAGAAACATAGCGAAAAAGGAAATCTTGGACACATTCATCATTCTTCTACGGCTGCGGCTGTGCAAATTCAAAGGAAAACACACATACATATTATAGCAGTAGTTATAGCAGTAATTATTATTTTTCCAGCTTTTCTGATTAATTTATATAAAAGTTGCTAAAGTGCTCACCCTTTAAGCTCTTCATAAATAGGAAGAATAGCAGGATGACAGACAAATGAGAAGGTCAGAATTGGCACAGCATAGACAGTCTGCAAAAAAAAGTAAAAACCTTCTTAACATCCTGATGTACCACTCATGTGATATCACAGTTCTTGCAACTTACATTTTATACTCATTAATCTTAGAAATCAAGGCTTAAAATGTTTTCTTGCCTAATTAGCTCTTCTAATTTGTTCACTAGGTGTGAGGAACATTCTCACTTCCAAATGTGGCAGTTACTGAGACAAGATGATCTTTTCATCTTTCAATCTACTTTAAGATACAAACCAACACTCTCTTCTCAGTCCTCAATAATGAGCTAATAAGCATGTTTCCTAAAGAGGAAGCTATTACCTCATCTCCCTTTACCTTGGGAGTGTTAAAACTTCCAGTGGCTTATCTTCCCTGTTTTCTTCCCTAAAATTTTTCTTTGAAAACAAAATGATTATAGTTACCTGTGAGTTGAAGATAAAATAACGTGGTTGGCAAGAATCACTTTCAGTCCTATTAAAACCCACAAAAGCTGCTGGCTGTGCTAAGCTGCCGTTTACTGTCTCATTAACTAGAAAAGCAATTTCCGCAGGACAAGGAATCTGAAATTTCTTGCAAATCACCTGAAAATATATTATTTTGCATTTGTTAGAATGAATAATGTGACAGGGCTTAGAAAAACAATCTCGAGCTTTAAAGAAAAATTATACCTACCACAATCAGAAAGAACATCATACACAGCAAGGAAAGACCACTGGTGTATCCCAAATATCCTATAAGGAGGAAAAAACATGGGATTCATTTCCTAAAACAGGTTTAGGGCAAAGACGACTCAATTCTGTTTGCAAGACTGCAGTGTGGACACATGAAATTTCTAATTTTTATACAATAAGATGTAGAATTACTTTAAAATATTTGTTAAACACTAAATCGGTAACAACTATCCCTTTTGCATTTTTTATAAAGCACAAGATGTTCTAAATGTCAACCAAGTACTTGGGCCTTTTGGTAACCATTCTGCTAGAATTTTTGGAAGACTGGCAAGTTACAAACGCTGCGATTCTCAATGGTATGTTTTTTGGGTTTTTTTATATTCAGCTCTCATTCATTTCTATTAAGAGAAAGCCAACTAGTTGGTGAGGCTCATTTCAATTCTCTTTAGAGATAGGTTTGCTCACCTAAATTCCTCAGCAGTGACAAGGGGAGAATGAGCACCAGTGACACCAGCAGAACCAGATAGTCACCATTCAGATACCACAATCTGAAAGAAAGAAAAGAAAAATAAGGTCACAACCAGTCATAAATATCCTCAGAATAACATATATTTCCTCTCACAGGACTCGTTTTATACTTAAAAAAAAAAAAGAGAGAGAGAGAGACAGGTTGGAAAGAGTTATCACTTATTCCAAAAGCCCACATACACAGGAACAGATTTCTAACTTAGCGTGCACAGTGAATATTCACTCAGGTTAGAAATGGGGTCTGAAACAGTATAACTTTTGTCCCATTGTTTGCTCTGGGAAGGCTGCCAGCTGCTTCATAACATAAAATGCTTCTTAAAGGCTTGATACTAACGTAGGGAACAAAGCAGCATTGTTAAGCCAGTTAATCTTATCTTTAAGCATTTTTAGAAAATTGTACACCAACTTCGTCATAGCTTTAGCTCACATTTTTTTAATGCTGGAAACAAGGAAATTATAAAACAAGTTTCTATCAGACATTTGTTAGCAAATGTACTTACTAAACATTTCAACAAGGAAATTTTTTCACAGTTCGACAAAATACATAGGCAAAAAACAAATAACAAAACCCAGTCCCCTCCAAACAAGAGCTTATTGCAGGTTGTCAAGAGTATGTTGTGACACCCTGACCCACCTTGACTCCAAGAGTAAAAAGATCCCTTCTGAACTCAGAGAAAATGTTATGCACCTCTCTAAAAGTTTTAGCAATGCCTTTTCCTTTTTAGGTAATCAACTACCCCTTGCTTTAAATCACTTATTTTCAAATTCCAATTGCCTGTCAATTCTAACTCTGCTTACTTTAGCAATAAAGACCCCCCACAGAAAACTTGTATTTAAAGACCAGCTTATTAGGTTTCAAATGCCGCAGAGATAACCACACATTTCTGTTTTGAGATAATGAGCTGCATGTAAGCAGGGAAGTACATTATCCCTCCTCATGTTTACTTTAGATAAAAACCTGTTAGTCTGCGAGTAACTCTGCTGGAAGGACAAGGCTTCTACAGTATGGCCATGGATTTTCTGGTATTCTGCATTTTCAAAAGATTTTCCAATTCACAAAAATCAGACAGGGGTTGATTTTTAATGTAATTCAAAATGTCAGTGCTAACTTAGGTTGGGTATAAGTTATTCAACTGTTATCTTCTGGGGACAGTAAGGAGAAGAGGTAAGCAGTTTCAGAAAACCTGTTTTCATACATACATTCGAAATTTGTTATTCAGAGTTAACTATCTAGATACTATCTTGGCCTTTCCTTCACTAAGTTCAAATCAGTTTCTGGGGGACTTCTTGGTCAGTTTCAACAGGAATATTCACAAAAAAAAAATTTACTGATCATCATTTTGTATCCAACTTTGATAAAATGTATCTAACCATTTTAGACTGCAATTGTTTCTTATGAGTAACCTTACTTAGCACCTACCCATTTGTATCTTCAATGTTCATTAATGCCTGGATCACCAAAGGTAACTCATATTTCACTATGAAGAGGTAGCTTGACATAGCTGGAGGAAAACAAAATTATACCATTACAAGTGCAAAATGTTGCATGTGACACCAAAAGTAGCCTGTCACCATTCTCTGCTACATAAAGAGCAAAAAACTATACCCAAATCGTCTTTTAAAAAAACTCTTACCTCCAATGTTCTGCATTGTAATGGATCCAGATGCTGTGAGCTTCCCAACCATTCCAAATGCTTTATGTCCCAGCTGTTCATATAATAAAGATCCTATAATTTAAAGAACACAGATGCATGAAGGAAGAGAAAGAAAATCATGATAGGCATAATTGTTTTAGAAATATATAGAGTGCTACCATACCTCCTTCATTGGCAGTCTTCAAAAGGAGATGAACAGAATACAGGGAAAATATTGACACAAATGTCAACAGAATTCTGATGAGAGAAGAAAAAGGTATAGGGTTATACATAAGCACGTCTATACTTAAAAGACAATTTGTTTTGACTTTATTTAAACATTAAATACAAAACTTGTCTTAATATTTTGTGTGTTAGAATGACCCCAATGATGTGTGTTCACTCTTCTGGCTAGAATGTCAACAAGCTCTCTTACCTGGCACTAAACATGACTGCATCATGTCTTAGGTAATAGCTCTAAAGTACTGGTTATGAACAGGGTTCACCCACTGAACCAAAGGTGATGACTTTCCAGTGGTAGAGTTATAAGCCTTATATTTTGATTCTGGTACTGTGGTAATTAGCTATGTACTTGCTACTTCTCTGTGTTCCTATACCTATAAAACAGTTCTAGCACTTGCCAGTTACTTGTGAAATTCAATTGAGACAAGTTCAGGAAAGGTCTGGAGTCCCTTTGAACCATATAGGTAAACAAAGGAATGGGACTCTACAAAGGAAGGAGGGATGATACATGCTAAGTGTCAGGGACAGCTTTACAAAAAACTGTCATCCGTTATTTGTAAAATTGATGGGTGTCATCAACACACATCAGAGGAATAACTACTCTGACGATATATTATATTGCGCCCCATGGTATGGAAGACAAGCCCAGCATTGTCACAAAGTTAAACAATGTCTGTGTGAGAACAAGCAATCTATCAGTGAGATTGGGCTGTCTCCTCCTTCAGTCGTTTCGCTTGGATGGAACAGGAGAAAAAATAAAAGAATAGAGAAGCACTAAAGGTTCTCTACTCAGTCACTAAGTTTTCCTTTAGGGCACACTTTCTCATTCCAGCTTTCCTTTCCTCCCCACCAGGCAAGCCAAGAAAAACAAATTTCTTTTTCTTAAAATGAGCCAACAACAACAAAAAATCAAAATCAGGGAAACTCATAGAAAACTCTGCAAACAAGATGACAGTCACATTCTCCAAATTCTGAAATGGCAACTCAATGAAGCACCGTATCAGGTCTGGCAGAGAAACAGACGTCTGTCAGTGACACACAGGTGGCGGCCTTCAGCGGCCGTTCTAACGCCGGAGGTTTCATGGCGTCTGACCTGCGGTGGCAATGAACCATCGGCCTCATCGCCAACTGCACGAAGCATGGCTTCATCAAAACTGTCCAAAGGGTGCTAACAAACTCAGTCCCTCCTCTACACAGAGAAGGCAATGAGGAGTGAACAGACTCCACGACCTTTGAGGTCACTTTCAATCTCAAGACTGGGTCTAAGACTTTATAGGGTAAGCTACAGAGGTGTTTAACCAGACGAGGGCAGCCATGAGGTTTTTTGGACCATTTACCTTTATACCGCTACACATACCATGTAAAACAGTGATGGATTTAAAACTCACTTTAGCATTTGTGATATTATTCAGCCATTTATTAAATAATCAAATATGCAAACACTATTAAAGTATAAATAATTTCAAAAGTGCAAGGGTAACATATCAGAATTCCGAGTTCTCTTATGAAACAAAGATAGCATTTTACCTCATGTAAATTCTGCACCACAACCACACTGGAAACATTTAAAGATTGCCTCTGATTTTTACATGAAGAGTTAGGAAGAGTTTCAAATATTTAACAATGATGCCATTCAAGTAGCCCACTAAAAACCTTGAAAACTCTAGGGTTCTTTCTATGCAAATTCCTGGCTCTTGGTCTTATACCTCAAAAAGCCTCATGGCTCACGAAGCAAGTTGAGTGAATCCTAGCTTCCAGTGCTCAAAGCCACACTTAACACATGTGGAATTTCACCACAAAGCGGAGTTTTGCAAAGGTTTGCTTTTCTTTTCAGGAACATTTTCTTCTGGTAGAAAAAATAAGTAGAAGGCACCAGCCAGCTAACTAAAATATGACTGTAGCAAAGAGAGAATTCCATGCTATGTGTATATGTGATTTCTTCGTCTGCACAGTAAATCACTCCAAAAAGAAAGTGCCTTAGCCAGGAGTCCACTGTAGTCCAATCTTAGTAGCTATGATACAAACATCGCTGAAAACATATACTCAAAATCACAGGTATTTTTCTTTTATGCTTTTTTCCTGGAAATAAGATCCATAGTTTTATATTCTCCAAGAGTTAGTGACCCCAAAATGGTTAAAAACCACTGTTTGAAAGTCTTCTCCTGCTCCGAAATCATATTCTAGGTATTCACATGGGAAAGCACAGGAGTAACTAATTCTAACTAGACAACTAAGGAAAAAAACAAAGCAATTCAAAGCAGATATTTTTTAAAGTATTCATATTTTGTTGTGGTAATCACACAGACATGGATTAAAAAAAAAAAAAACCCCAAAATTGAGACCAAACAAACAAAAAAAATATATCACATATGGTTGTTTTTCGGTGTCCAGAAAATTGTGAGTCACTTTTCTAAAACATGTTCTAGGTTAGACAAATACCACCACACCCTATATATTAAAAAAAAAAAGTTGTTTTCCTTATGTACATTAGAGGCCACAGATCCTTGGGAAGACTCAATTTACGAAACGGAATTGAAAGTATCATGCTTTTTAAATATTTCTTGCTTCAGAGTTTGCCAGAGTAAAAATTTTACCCTGGATCCATCCACAGTTCTTTATAAATATCCAATCCCTATTCAACTTTATTCCCTTCGACTCAAAAACTTTTTGGATTATTAGTTTTAAGAGTTGTCCTAATTTTTCCTACCTAATTGACTTTTTTGATACCATGCAGTTATGTGGCAGAATAAAGAGATTTTTGGATTTCTCACATTTTAAATTTTAAGCAAATGATTAAGTCAAATACTGCAACTGTAAATTCAGTCTCTGGAGCCAAAATATATGCTGTATCATCATATTAACTGCCCTGCGTGGCAGACTCACTACTTACACATACTTACATAAAAAGAGCAATTCCAGTATTAGCCATGGCATAAGAAAGCCCAAGGATTCCACTGCCCACAATCGCATTGCTCAGATTAAATACTGACATTCCAAAGGAAGTAGTACCTGGATGCTACATAGAGGGAAAAGGATAACCAAACATATAACAATAATTAAATGGAGAAAACCAGCTTTGGGCAAGTTAGACTTGAAATCTAAAAATAAAACTATTCTTTTACTCCATAAAGCCACAGAAACACAAACGATTATTTTTAACTTACAAAGTCAGTTTCATACTTCTTCTTCCCCACATTCGATTCAAGTAAAAAGTTCTGGTTTTCAGGATCCACATCTGCATAATGGCTACAAAAAAGGAAAACAAAAAAATCCTAAATTGGTTGAAATACACAAAGGAATGCTTCAACACAAAACGCCCCCGCGTTTAGCTGTCACACATTTTAATTTAAATGCATATTAAGTAGTAGTCCACTTTCACACGACCTGAAGGCGTATTCCCACACAACCACCAGGTAATCTTCCAAAGATTACACGCTCTCTCCAAATGCTACAATAATTTAAAGCAACAGAATCCTACGTAAAGAACTTCCGATGCACACAAGCCGTTTTTAAAAACGCACACATCTCCCACCTTTTCAGAGCAGCTTGTTTGGTGGGGTAGGAATAGTTGAAGTCGCTGTTGGAACTATAGCTGCTGCTGTCCTCATCTGGGGAAATACTGAACCTTCCCATTTCAGCTTTCTTCATGTTGGGCAGCGGGAGGAATCGGGCGCTGACGGTAGTGCTGGGTTCCTTTTGTCCTTGGAGACGCACGAGCCCGCGCGGCTGCCTGTGAAGGTAGAGGCGGCGCGTCAGGACTGCAGAGCCCGCCCTGGTCACGTGACACCGCCGGGAGGCGCAGCGCGGCTGATTCATCCCCCGCCAGGCGAGTGGAAAAGTACCAGCCGAGCGCGAGGGGCGGGGGCGCGCGCCGAGGGGCGGAAAAGTACAGACCGCGGAGCCGCCGAGAACAAAGATGGTCCCACCGCAACGCTGCGCCCGCGGAGGCCCGCGCCCCCGGACCGTAAGGCTCCTCTCCCGCGCAATTTAACATTTTGCTCTATTAGCCCAAGTTTTACGAAAGGGGCGTGGGGGAGCTCTGTTTCGCTTTTCCCGCAGCCTCCTTGGTCGTGCACAGGCACGCAGGGCACACATCCCACCCAGATATTTGGCTAGGTGTGCATGCCTTGTAGCCCAGGCACATAGCTCCCTGTTTCCAGCATTTACAATAGCAATGTCGCGTAATCCGTTCCTTTCACGCCTGGAGCCCCCAGATGAGGAAATGCCTCTGCGGCAGACAGACTCGAAGGGGGCGTTAGGGCGGACACGAGTTTTCTCCCGAGAAGAGGAGCAGAGGGCGTGCAGAGTGCCGAGGGTTTGTTTACACGCGCAAGCCCGTGCCCTCGAGCACACCCGTCCACTGGCATTTGGCTCGCAAGCTCTTCACCCCGCTGGCCCCTCCTATGCCCGGAAAGGAAACTGATGCAATATCGATCGCCGATTGTCAAACGTTCCCGGTTCGTCTTCCCCAATCGTGGCCTCTGCTACATTAAAAGCCCAACCCACCTCCGCCTTCCCCCAAATTCCAAGACCCCTGGATTTAATTATTTTTATTAACTCAAATCAGTCACCAGACTTGTCGCAGTGGAACCGCCGGCCTGGCTGACTTCCCCTCCCCCTAACGGGAAGATGCAGCTCCGATCTGGGCGGGCACACGGCCCCCGGGCCGCGCCCCTCCCCCGCCCTTAAGAGGACAGTGACCCCAGATGCAGGCCGGGATAGAAGACTGGCCCACAAACCGAAAACGCCCTCCCCGGGAAGAAACGACACCCACAGCTGCCTTCCCGCCGCGGCCCCTCCCCCACTCCCGCCCGGCCCCCGCGCCTTTTACACAGACGCCCCCGCGCGTGTTACCTTGGTGGTCTGGGCTCCTGTATCCCGGAAACAACACGCAGACGACTTCGGTGAGTTTTTCTCAGTCAACAAAAATCATAAAGAAAAACAAGAAAACGAAAAACCCAACAAGAAGCAGGAAAAGAATTTTAATTAAACAAGGAAATAGCAAGTTGCCGCCCCAGTCGACCGGCGTCCGCCGTCTGAAGGGAAAGGCGCGAGTGTGCGGAGCGCGTGGTCCGGCTGCTGGCGGCGGTGCGAGAAAAGCGCTCCGGAACGGCAGCGACGCGCGGCTCTGGAGCAGCCGGGCGAGCGGCGGGTTTTAGCGGGAGGACGCGTCAATGGGCGGGGCCCCAGCCTTCGGGAGCCTGCTTTTTGTATATCAACACCACCTGGGCTCCGCCCCCGGACCGCCTGGGCCCGCGAGGCCCCGCCCCTTGCCCCCTGCCCCTGCTCCCCCCGCGCCCCTCCGGGGCGGCGGAATCAGGCAGCCCAGCCCCGCCTGCTTCCTCCCCCGCTCCTTCCAGGCTAACTCCACTCTGCCGACTTTGGTCAGCCTGAAAGACCCCCGCCTCCCCTCGCCCGTGCTTTCCTCTGTCTCTCCCTTTCAGCCCAGACGGGTGCCCAAGAGATGCGGTTGGTCTTTCAGGAACCTTCTCCAAATATGCTCGTGTCCGAGTGACCAGCAGGCTTTCTTTTCTCCTTTAGGCTCTTTGGGGACACATCCCGCCCATCCAATGCTTTTCTGCATGTTATTTTTATGATTTACAGGGGGGTTTTCTCTCGCATTCCTGGGCCAACGGAGCAACGTAGTCTCCATGGTAGGTTTCTGTTCTCGTTCTTTCTTCTCTTTCCCAGACCTGTTTTCACTCTTCAGAACTAGCCTGATTAGGTCGGTTGGCAGCTCCATATCGGGATATCCTTTTTGTACGGACACGGAAAACCCTATGAAGTGTAAAGATACATCATGCCCAGCAAGCCAGACTCTTTAAAAGGGTCCCCAGTGGGCGACTCGGCTACTCCGAGGGGGTGTAGGATCCCGTTTTTCCTTCCTGGACACGTTTCGCTCATTCCCCACCCCAAATGAAGAGCTCTCGTCGCCCTCCTCGCCTTTCTCTCCTATTTACAGAGGCACTGCCTCCGTTGGAATGCCGGTGCTCCCCTTCCAGTGTGGATGTGTTCTTGCTGAGCCAGGCAACTAGGGGGCCCCTTCACTGTGGAATAGTCGGTCCTGCCGGAAAGGCTGGAAACAAAGGCTTCTTAGGGGAGAGAATTGTTGGTTGAATGAATGAATAAACAAACGACCTGACCTACTGCTCTCTTCCTTTTGGAGACGTGGGAGAGACTGAGCAGGGTTGGGTGTGATCACAATTTTTGCTTTCAATGTTTTCCCGAGGAAATCTGTACAACTGTCTGTTTCCATGACACGTGAGGCTGCGGGCGCCCTTGGCCTGCACCAGAGTGTATGATTGACATGGGAGGACCCGATTCCACTTTACACTCCTTTCTTCCCAACCCCTTCAACTAGTCAGACCAGTCTCAGCTAAACAATACTCTTTCTTGCTTTAGTACCCAACTTCCCATCGCCATCACTCAGGGCTTAGTCACTGAGCCTCAGGAAGGCTTCCGTCCTCACCCCTCTTATTGCAAGGACTGTTTTCTAAACCGTGTGGTGAAAACGTTTTAGAACCTATGCTGTCTTGTACCCGAAATTGTTCACGTTTGTAATCTTGTCCTACCAGGGAGACTGTGAGCAAGCCAGGGCAAGTTTGGCGTTTGATACACAGTTGTGACTTTCACACACGTTCCCCGATAACACCGATCAGCTCTTCTAGACTGGACAGCAATCTTAGTCGTGGGTTAGGGAGGACTCCTTGAAAGTTCTTTACTGTCAAGTTTCAACTGATGAAAATGAAAAGGTCTTAAGTCACTCCTTCATCCAACTTAGTCCCCTGCATAGTCTGAAGTGACTGTGGTTGGCAAGTCCTACTCTCAGAGTAGTTCTCTTGTCAGTTGAATTGTTTGGTGGTGTGTATTATGGTGCATGGGCTTCCTTGGTGGCTCAAAACGGTAAAGAGGTGGCTCAAAAGGTCTCCAATGCGGGAGACCCAGGGTTGAATCCCTGGGTCCGAAGATCCCCTGGAGAGGGAAACGGCCACCCACTCCAGTATTCTTGCCTGGAGAATTCCACGGACAGAGGAGCCTGGCGGGCTACAGTCCATAGGGTCGCAAAGACTCAGACACCACTGAACATGCAGGCACACGTCCCTCATGCCCAGCCATCCTCAGGTTGGCTTTCACGGCTCTCTGTGGCCAGCGTGCGTGCTCAGTTGCTTCTCCTGTAGCCCACAAGGCTCCTCTGTCCATAGGATTCTCCAGGCAAGAAGACTGTAGTGGGTTGCCATGCCCTTCTCCAGGGGATCTTCCTGTCCCAGGGACTGAACCCGCATCTCCTGTGTCTCCTGCACTGTAGGTGGATTCTTAACCCTTGAAGCCATCTGGAAAGTCTGGCCCTAGCCTTTGTTTCCACCCTGATCCCCCACTATTTCTTGTGGTAGGCAGCTTCTGAGATGGAGCTCAACGAACCTCACTTGATATTCATACTCATTTGTGACCCCCTTTCCTTGAATGTGTATTGGACCTAGTGATGTACTTCTATTCAGCAAAGCGATGGTATGTTACTTCTAAGATTAGGTTACAAAGAGTTCTGGCTTCCATCTTGTTCTATCTTGCTCTCTCCCTCATTTGCTCTGAGGGAAACCAGCTACCATCTTGTAAACTGTCCCACAGAGATGCCCCCAGGGCAAGGAAATAAGTCTCTGGCAACAGCCCAGAGAGGCCTGCCAGGTCACAAAAGTAAGCATGGAAGCGGATCCTGCCCAGTTGAACCCTGAGATGACTGCAGCCCCAGCTAATACATTCGTAAGAGTACCCAACTAAGCCCAGCCTGGATTCCTGACCCACGGTAATAAGTGATAATAAATGTTTATCATTTTACACCACTAAGTTTTGCCATGGTTTATTACTGGCCATAAGTAACTAATACATTTCCCTTCTAATACATATACCCTATGCTTTTGCCACTGTTCTCACTAGAAACCATTTCTCATTTAAGTGATACCCACTGCTTGGAATATTCTTTATACCTCCTTGTCCCTGCTGTTAATATATATTTAAACTATTTCCTTTGACACCCACCTTAAATTAATTTTTCTTTATTTGATACTCCCATTTGAAAATGGTCTCATTCTATTTTGAACATTGTGCTTTTAAAACATCTTTTTGTGGCACTTCTTTTTGTGTTGTCCATTTACTTGATTTTATGTTAGTTCTTTCCAGGGTTGCTTTTAAGACAGCTCCTAGGCCCCCCAAAATAGTATTAACTCTGAGCACCCTGGTGACTTTGGTGCGTTTTTCTGGTATCGAAGGGTACTCTACTAGGTATAATTGCTGTGGAACAAATTATTTCAAAACTCAGTGGCTGAAACTCTCAAACTTTGTATGAATCAGAAATTTGAGAGTAACTCAATTGTGTGTTTTAGCTTGGAATCTCTTATGAGGTTGTAGTAATCTGACAACTATGTGTATAGTTATCTGATGGCCTGACTAGGGCTGAAAGATCTGTTTCTAAGGTCACTCACTCACATGCTGGCAAGTTGGTACTGGCCAGTTGACCCTTCTCCAAGAAGGCTTCTTCACAAGCTCGACTGGTGTTCTCATGACATGGTAGCTGGCTGATTCCAGAGCAAGTTATCCAAGGGTGATCAAGGCAGAAGTTGCAATGTCTTTATAAAGCAGACTTGGAAGTCACATTT